CTTCTGAAAGAAGCGTACAGTCTAGACATAGCCTAAGAGGAGTAGATGATCAGTTTCAGCATTAATGCCTTATGATAGTTCCCATTTGCCCTGTTGCCATGGAAAAGGGCAGTCGATATCTTTCCCCATGCCCAACCCTATGGTTAGACATTAACAAGGTAGTTGGAGGTACACCAGCACTGCTACCTGAGTCTCTGGAGGGACTACTGAAGGTATCTTCTCTCCTCCACTCCGATCAGGATTTAATTGAAAGGCCTGAGGCCACTTCTTCTGAGTGGCTTACCTCACCAAATGCACCAAAGAGAAACAGGAAACCCTCCCCAAGTCAGTGGACCATTAATCCCTGACACAGAAAATATAAAATGTCCTAGGATGCTTACTGGACCTAATCACGGCAATTACTCCTCAGAAGGTCCTGAGTTGCCACAAACTGTTACCCAAGGTACAAAGGCAAATAGGAAAAATAGGAAGCAAGAAAGTGACCCTGTTTCAGAAGATACAAGCACCCTTTTCCCATATTTGTCACTGGTATGGAATAATCATACTGGGAGGGTGCACTGAGTAATGTGATGAGAATAAAGAATGACACTCCAGCTAAGTTTAACAACTGTATTAAGGGATTAAGTTACAATAATTAGGAAAATGGGAGAATTCAGATTACAACCGAAAACAAAGAACAATCGTAAGCATCCTTAAATCAACAAATAACCGTACAACAGTGCACGGATTCTATCAGTAGGGCATGTGGTCTAGGCCCAAATGCCCTCTTTGGCCAGTAAGAAGGGAAAAGACAACAGTAAAGAAGGGAAAAAGTAATAAACCCCTTTTACATTTTAGAGGTGCCGATGGGTGCTGTGCGCAGTCCGAGGTCTGGGACCTTCGACCCTCGAGCTAATTGGATGCTCTTGGGGAGGAACTCTGGAGAGATCCCAGCGGGGAACTTCAATGAGCAATGGTGGATCACTAATGGTAAGTAAATCTTCCCTTTCCTTCCTCACAGCCTTGATGGTGTTGTGGTGATCCGATGTTGACGGGAGTGTTGATGGAATGGAAAAAGATGGCTAAGATCAAAAACCACGCCACCCAGCAGCTGCACAGAGCCTTATTATATCATTTCTGTGGTGTGAAAACTCTGAGGTGATGAAATGCTCAGGGTCTGCTCAGGCTGGAAAAACTAGTTTTGGCTGGTAAAAACCAGCACAGCTCAGAGTTCTCTAGCTTCTGACAGGCACTCTGATCAAAATGGAGTTCTTAGGGTTAAAAGTTCACTGACTCCATCTCGAATGGTTTTCATAAACAATACACTAGAATCATGTTCAATTAAACACTTAAATACAAACCTATACATTGATGATGATGATATGTTGATACATTAACCCTTTATTCCGAACAGCTGCTAGAGTTCAGTTCCCCTTCTGGGGTGGCTCACAGTACAGGCCTCTTCTCCCAGTGACTAATAGAGCTGGGGGTGGCGGAGGCCCAGGCCCACCTTCTACTCCAGGTCCCAGGATAGGGACCCTGTAAGATAGCAGCTGTCTGTAACGTACCTTTAAATAATTGCATTGCTGCTACAATTCCATGGGGCACTTCTCCATGGCTCCAGCATATTCTTGACTCTTACCTCAGGTCATTGTCCTGGTAGAGTCCCAGCTACCAGCCCAGAGCACCATCTGCTCACCTTCAGATCTAGCAAGGAACTGCTCTTGCATTGAAGCTCTTCTTATAACAGGGGTCCTCAGGGCCTAGTCCACCCTGTCACATTCTCTCATGAGTCTATTTCTGAATCCAAAGTATTCTGCTACAATCTTTAACTCTTGTAAAGCAAACTTGCTTCTTTTCATGCGTTTTTCCTGAGAAAAAAAATCATTTTTTCTTAGGTTGAGCCCATTGTTCCCATTGCTTACATAGTTGCTACCAGGCACGATGAATGCACCTTGCTTCCAAGGACTGCATCATACCCTTTTAACAAAATCGTCTAAGTTATGTCCCAATGTCCTTTCTAAAGTATGGTTACATTGGTCATATTGCAGCACAGTGAGCATATGATAGTGACTCTAACAAATAAAAGTGGTTAACGGCAGAAAGAGAGGAGTTAAAGAGAAAATTGAGCTAGACAAAGAAATATTCAGCCTGAGGGCAGCTCAGTTAGTGACACTGCAGAAGAAGGGTGTGATGTGAAGGACCGAGGAACAGGCTGCAACAGGCAGCGTCTAGCTTGAAACAGCAGATGAAGAAGAGTGAAGAAATTGTTAGAGGATCCTTACTAAAGGATTCCCAGAAGACACAAGCAGATCATGGGGACTGTAAGAGAGAAAGCTGTGCTGTCAAACTGGGAAAACAGAATGAAATAAAGGTTGCCATTTGTGGGGGTTACAGCCCAGAAACTAGAAGCAAGTTAGAGGAGACTCTCTACTTTTATCCTTACCACTATGATTATGAGAAGAATGAGCTCCTTTAACTTCCTTTTCCCTTAGGCTGTTGTGGGCAGTTCCTGTATGGTCTTTGCTTGAAAACTAGAAGAGCTGCAAATGCCTATACACCTAGCCTCCTTGATAGATCACCATGGAGGTAACTTAGGAGAAAAAGAATGAGTAGAGGACAGGCCCTTCACCCCTGACCAGGTTAGAGCTGCAGGAAAATTGGTTGGTCCATTAACTCAGAGCACAGCAGGATAGAGGTTAGGGGTATGAGTTTCCCACATGCTTTGGCCCGAAGAGCCCTACATCTAGATTTGTTGTTGCTTTCTATGTTGTGGGTGCTTGTCTTATGTTTTCCTTTTCCCTAAGTCCTCTCACTCTTCCTCTCTCTGCTTTTTTCACACACCTTCTCCCCTTTTCTTGTCTCCTATTCTCTCTGCTTCTTCTCTCACTTCCCATTCTCTCTCCCTCCTACTCATTTCTGCCCCTCTTCTGCTGCTTTTTTCCTTTTTGTGTATACTTTTGGTTTGGAAAGTTAAAAGGTAAAGCCACAGTTGGCTTTTACTGAAAATATTTTACTGTCTTTGAAGATGTAGTTGCCAGGAGTTGAGGAATGTTATTACAGGTTACTGCCTTGAAATTAGTTTAGGAAAAGCAGTAAACAAACAAAAGAAGGATCAAAGATTGTGAAGTTTGTGTCCACACAAAGCAATGTTGTTTAAAGCAGAAGCTCATCCAGATAAAGTAAAAGGAGGGAAAAAGGAAAGAGAATGGATTTTCAAGGCTGTTTACCTGACCAGATCAGGAACGAGGGTTGAAAGTATTCTTGTCACATGCTCACAACTCCTCTTCCTGCAGTAGTAGTTTGATTAAGTGATCATTAGAGATGTAAGAATGTTATTTATTTTTAAAAATTGTAGTTATTTATTTAGGCCCTGCCCTTCTGGGGATAGCTCCACTTGGGTGCCTTTCCTCCTCTTCCTCCCCTTCCCAAACACACCGTGCCAGGAGAATTCCAATAGCATAATTTCTTTGGATCTCCTGGTGGACAGGCAACCTGATCTCTTCCAGACTGAGCAACAGGCACTGAATTTATGGTTCCTGCCTTGCTTTTACAAGCAGCCACCGCCTCCAAATCCCTATCTTTAAGGCTATGTCTAGACTACATTGATCTATCGGAAAAAGGTACATAAATTGCGCTCCGCAATTTACGTACCTTTTTCCAGTTCTTTTTTCGGAAGAGGCTTTTCTGAAATTTGGCCAATCTACACTGGGCCAAATTTTGGAAAAGCCTCCTCTTTCAGAAGAGTCCTTTTTCCTCGGGGAAGGAGGAAGACAAGGCTTCTGAAAAAGTGCAAAAAAGTGGAAGAGCAGACGCATTCCCTGGATGCGGCGGAGTTTTTCTGGGATACCAGGAAAAACCCTGTAGTGTAGACATGGCTTAAGAGGCTAAGACCCACAACAGGAATAAGGGTTGCAGCTTGACTTGCAGCACCAACACACAGTCACATGCAGGTTGAGACAGTAAGAAACACCTAAGAAATGAGTAACTTACACATTAATATTACTTTTCCAACTGTGGCTATTATTCCCATGTTTTAGATAGGGAAACTAAACACAAATACAAATACATCAAATAGCTTGTTCAAGTCCATGCAATAAGCCATGGGTAGAGCATAGAATAGAACGCCACTTTTGCAGTTTTCTACTCTAGGCACTAAATCTACATTGCATCCTCTGGTGCTTACTGATGTAATTTTAACATAAGTTTTTTAACCAAGTCGCCTAAGAACAAGTGCTTCACATTTTCACTTTCGGGTTCCAATTTGCCACATTAGCTGGCTGCCAGTAATTACATCTTGGTTTCTCCTGACACACAATCTGGGCCTCCTTCTAACTCTTTGTCAGCATTCCTCCACAGCAGCTATACAAATGGAAGGCAGGTGTGACACTATTTAGTTTGCCAAAGGAATGTCTTTCTAGGTTAGTATATAGTAGTATGAGTAAGTTAATTGTAAGAGGTACATTCTTAAATTAGATGTGCACTTGTCTAAAGTTTTGTCAGCTTTGAGAGTGACATGCCAGACACCGATTTTTGGAGCATTCCAGGTACTCTTAAACAATACATGTTTAGATCTCGCACTGATACACACAAAATCCAACTTGTAAATTAGAGCAATATGAGCTGACAGAACCTGTGTGTGCTGCCTAAACTTGTTGGATCCTCCTCACACTTTCACGTTTTACTGGTGATCCACTCATATCCCCAGCTGTTATCAAATCACCTGTTGATCCCATAATCTTCTTTTCTTTCCCTTGCAAATTACTCTCTTTTAGGAAAAAATATTGCACTTTTCAATTCCTATGCTTACTATATCAACACCATGGTTTTATCAAAGATACTTAAAAAAAAAAAAAAGCAGATGCAATCTATGCAAACAGCAGACATATTATGGACTCAGTCAAGAAGAAGTTGTCAGGAAATCCAGTGGAACTACTCCACTGCGTGAGAGCAACAGGAATGATTCCTCAGTTAGACAATAAACTCTTCAAGACTAAGAACAGGGACATTACCACAACAAATAAATGACAAAGTAGAAAACAAATTTTATTGGATGAACAAATTGTCTAAAAGTCTCCCTTTTTTTGGTTAACAAAAGCAGCAACCCACAAAATATCCTGCATTCCAGGACAAGTGTTCATGTCAACAAAAATTATCCTTAAGCACATTTCATTTGTATGTAGAATATTATAATCGCTAAAATATTTTTCGGCAAAGTTATTAATCCAAACAGAGGTGCTTTACAAGGAAACCTGAAAAATAATGCTGACAGAGGTATACTTTTAGGGCTGCCAATATTTTTGGTACTTAATAGTGTCATCCCTCATAGAAAAATTAACAAGTAAAAATGCGATGACATTTGGAGACACAATGAAAGAAAAGAATAGCCAACAAGTCACAGTGTATTCAGCTTGATTATCAGCAAATTCAACTTCATTTTTATTTAAAAAGGCTGTGGAAAATGAAGCGAATTCAATGGTCACAAAGGTGATATAGTCAGAAGTCCTCACTACTTCATCCACAGAACAGGCAGAAGAGGGGTAACAAGACAAGCTTATTCTATACTGTTGTGCCTCAAGCCTTCCACAAAGTAATGTAATTTTCCCTGTACAATCAATCAATCTCAAGCTTTTCAGATACAACAGCACTAATTGGTACCAGCTGGCAAAAAATGTTTTAAGGGAAATAGATACTAAATCCACTGGGAATTAGACTGAGACCACCCACTTCAGTTAAGTTTCACACATTTTTTGCATTACAATATTTCTAATAGACAGTGGCAGCCTTATTGCATTTAAAATAAAAATGTTACAAAGAAAGGAAACACTGACATTTTTACCTTTATATATTATGCAGGATAACTAATCATTTTAGAAAGTCATAAGAAATGAAGTATCATGCTTTGAGTATCCTACTTTTCAATGCTGCTTGTTTACATCAATGGCTTTAACCACAATTTGTTCTTTTGTTTTCATGGTCCCAAATGCAGTTCAATTATTTGAAGTGACAGTTTATTTATTATATTTACTCTGATTACAAAGTACAATAATCTGTGCTTGTCAAGTTTACACATCTGATCTCAGTCACCACGGCCATATGTATTTAAATAACTATGAGATTGTATTTTATACCATGATTTCTATTCATATGTACCCTAGGCTTAATAAACTCCTACTATGTCTTAGCACAATTTTAGTATACCAGCTGTGCTGTACTAAAGTTAATTTCTATCATTCCCTTCATAATCAGTATAACTCTGATAGCCACTGTTCCTCCTCTCATGTATATTACACATCTTCTTCCACGTGGACTCTGGATGGAAACCAGCACTGAAAGATCTACCCAGATGTCCATGCTGTTTCTTGGTGATACTGTCTTCGCTTTCAGATTTGGCAATTCCCTGTGCTTGTGGTTGAATATCTCGTCTAATGTTTCCAAATGGGAAATTCCAAGGACCAAATCTTTGCCAATTAAGTCTCTGAAAAGCGATGATACAATGCAGATTTCCTCCTACCTGACAAAAGGTAAAGAATGTTAAGAAGAGTCCAGAGAAAAAAGTAATTAATGATCTACTAGTATTATTTATGAGACAAACTGCTTTCGCTTAGTTCTTCAACTCCTTTACTTGCTCCCTTTTTAATCTTCTACACAGTACGTAAGTTTCCCTAACATTCTCATACTAGCATAACCAAGCTTCTGCCTAACTTACCTTTACACTCTCCATGCAAAACACACAATTATCACGTTGTTTCTGTCTTCTTTCTATTCATCTTCAGATTTCTTTCATGCATCGAGAGTTACAGTAACCAAGATTCCAAGATGTATGTCCCTGTGGGTGCTCTACCTCAGGTGTTGGTGTATCCCAATGCCGTTGATTAGAGATTTTTAGCAGAAGGTCAGAACGTGCATGTGCTGTAGCTGTCATGTGGTGCCGCTGGAATTTCATTTAGCACGCAGATGGCCCAACCTTCTCAGTTCCTTCTCTACAGTAGTGCCTTTATATTGAACTCCGAAACAGAGGGGGACAGTGGAACATCCACAGAGAAACACATCTTGAAGAACCTCAGCTACTGCACAAGGTGAGCGACTTTCTCTTTTTCATTGAGTGCTATCGCTATAGGCCCTCCACTTCAGGTGATTGTACAGGGGCATCCACTATAAGTTTTACTTGGTGGAGAAGAGGACTGTTAGGCCTAGTATGGTACTGGCTTGTGGGCACAGTTCCTTGGAAAGTGCACATCTGAGTTACCACATAGGAAGAAATTAAGATCCGCCCACCTCATTAGTGGAGCCAGGCAGTGTGCCTCTACTAGTCAGGTGCTTCCTCCTAAGTTCTAACCCTGCAGATGGAGAATGTGGGAAATACAAGCTGGTGGGCTTGGTGGGGGGAGTCAGTGGGAGAGGTGACACAG